GGTTAATATCAAACTTTCAGTGATCCTCCTGCCTCAGCCTCCCAAGTGCTGGGATTACAGGTGTGTGCCACCATGCTAAGCTACTCATATCTCTTAAATCTTTAATTAACTCTTAATCTAAAGAAAACTTTGTGAAGCCTGCAAGAGTCATGCCTTGGGTCAATAATTCATGGGATAAAATCAGTGACACTTCACTATGAGCAGGCCACCTGGATAAGCACTCATTTAAGGAGAGCTCTATCACTAGCCACAAGAGCTTGGGGCCAATGGTTCTATAGGAGGTGGAGTCCTGAGAAATTCAGGCCAGAATTCAGAGTTTTGGAGAGTTATGACAATGTTCCAGAAGAAGATGACATGAATAAATGTACATTTTGCATGTGAATAAATGAATAAGTGTAGAACTTATTGTTAATAATAATAAGGTTGTACATGAAAAATAAGACAACCCCCGGAAATAAGCCCTATTGCATCTTTTGGAGCAAAGATTAATATAAGACCTAGTCTTATTTGGGGGGAAATATGGTAATTTAAGCAAGCAACTTTGCATGCTACATTATTATCAATAATCCTCTGAAAATAACAGAGAAATAGTCTCATTCATGTCTAATTTCACCTGCTGACCTAAGAGATGGAGATGTGTCTGAGCATCGAGGAGAAGAGATAGTGGACTCATGGACAATAGTAGTTGATGAACGTGCTTTGCTTTCCCTTCCCAGCTTCAGAGATTAGCGTCACAAGAACAAAAGGAGAGCTGGAAGGGGGTGGTGCATGGTTTTGGTCCTAGCAATAGGAGGCTGAGGCAGGAGGACTGTGGCAAGTTCAAGGCCAGCCTGGGCTACATAGTGAGTCCAAGGCCAACCTAACTATAAGAGAGACCCTGTCTCAAAAATTTTTAAAAAAGGAAATACCACTTGTTATTGTGCTAATACTGCACAGGAATTGGTAAGTATTGGCCATTTACCATCTGCAGATCTTATAGGAAGAACTTTAGAGATATGATGAGAATTTTGTGAGTGTTGGGTATCATCTCCTCAGTGTTCAGAGGAAAAGGCACATGTTCCATGTGGGTATGTAACTTCTCGTCACCTCAAAACCGGAAAGTATTGGGACTTATTTCAGACCCAGGTCTCTCAGCTGTGGAGCTCCTGTGATTTACAACTTACCAAAATTTAGAAATAGCCTTTAGTGGCGTCTTAGTTTCATTTTCTGCTGCTACAACAAAATACCACAGAGTGGGTGATTTATAAACCATAGAGGTGTCCTAACAAGGCAGAAGGGTGAGGAAGCATGAGATAGAGAAAAGTAGAAGAGACTCATCCTTGTGTCCCCATGACAACTAACTCACGCCCATGAAAGCAGCATCAATCCATTTTCGAAGGCAGCACCCTCACTGCCTAGTCACCTCTCGAAGTTCCCACCTCTTAGCACCGCTCCAATGGCTACCAAGTTTCAACATGAGTCCTGGAGGGTGCATTGAGGCCATAGCAGGCAGTCCCAGAAATCAGTCACCCTCCAGGAATGGGAGTGATAACACTGCAGTCCCATCTGTGCCCTGCGGGAGGTCTCTACAGCAGCCCTTCCTTCCCGGGCTCATCCCTGTAGAACAGAGCAGGCCCGAGGAAGCAGCAGAGGTTACAGGCACCTCACCCAGACAGCTGTGCCACAGACCCAGCCACTTCTTCTCTGCTAGTTTTGCCCGAATGTCAGGTACAGAGGGTTTGGTTAGTCTGATCCTCGTTGAGTGCTCTGTAAGGAATGATTGTTTCAGCCTGTGCAAGGACCTGCTCTGCTGCGGTGTTCATTAGTCATTGACCATTCCTTTGTATCTCCTCCTGAGGTTGATATTTCCCCAGTCCGATAGGTTTTATTTGTATGTGTTCTTAAAAAAAAAAAGATGTACGGCTTTTGTTCATACACATTTAGATTTACAATGTTGTTTTATATGTTTCATTTTAACTTTTTACGTATTTCTAATTATATTATTCCTAGTAAAGTGACAAAGATAATATACTTATTTTAATTACCTGTAGAAACACCATGCAAATTGCTACATAAAAATGCTCTCAGAGCATATGCTAGGGCAATTACATTGTTAATGCCTGATACTTAGCATTAAATCAATGTTTTTCTAATAACACTCTAAATTACAAAGTATCCTAATCAAATAGACTTGTTAACATGTCTTATAAAGAGCACCTTAATTATATCTTTCATTTGTATAGGATTTTCAGAAGTATCCTTCGACAAAGGAAAAGTTGAGCAAATCCGTTATAAATCTCATAGTTTTCTTGGAGAGGCTGAGATCGCAGAGACCAAATTCAGGGCTAATATCAGCACAGGCGGACCACCAGAGAAGCAGAATTATAGTCAATAAACATGGGCTCTTCCTTATAGGAACCCTGTCCTGCCGAGTAACCAAGGCAGCTTAAAACAATAACAGAATATTGAAATAACTGCTCTGAATACTTTCAAGGGTTTGGAAAAATATTAACCGAGCTGAAACTGCTGAAGAGTTGATATTGTGATCCATAGTTTTCAAATATCTGTGTACTAACTGAAAAAAATGTGTGAAATTGTACAGTGCAGTGGTGGCGTATTTTTAAAATCGCCAAGATTGATTTGTATAATTAGAATTTAAAATAAAGATTTAATGAAAAACTCATTAAGGGAGAAAGGTTTCAAAATGACAAATCTGTAAGAGAATTTTAAACGTAATTGTTGATGAATCTTCCATTTTTCACAGTGAAGTTTTCCACTCAAAATGCAGGGTCTCTTGTTTAATATGCAGTAACCAAGAGGACTGATTAATTTAGCTTTATGTGAGAGTGAGAGGTGGGCAGATCACATGAACATTGTAGCACTGTTCACTTGTGGTTGTTACATTTCACCAACGTGAACGTGAAGAACAAATCAAAGTAAGGATCTGGAAGTTTTTCAGGAATGTTATTAATTCCTAAATTATTTAGGAAACATGTTTATAATGTTTCATGGGCCCAAAGCCACAGATTTTAGTCACTGCCATGTATACCTAGAGAATATGCTATGAAACTGGTCATTTTATCTACATGTACTTTTTAATTACTGGATGTAACTCAGTTGTGATGTCCTCAGTGATAAATTCACATCAGACCTAACGGAGTGACTTCATCTTTCAATAAAAAAAGGATACAAAAAAAGCAGATGAATGCTGCAAAGAAAATAGTTGATTATCTTACAGATTCATCATGTACATTAACTAGTTTAATCCTTACCAAGATCTTCAGGTAGGTATTATTTTTGAACTTTGCAAAAAATGACTGTGACTTCGGCCAAGGTTACAAGCTGAAGGAAAGACAGCAGTGAATTTGAAGGACAGTGGGTTTTAAAAGCCATTTCCTAAACCCCCACTCTCATCAGCGCTGGCTTCCATTTGTCTGCAAATGAAGATTTCTGCTTCTGCAGAATCTCTGAAGGCTATGGATTTCCACAGAGAATATACAGCTTTATTCTTCTGGAGCCTTTGTTTTCTGATTTAACAAAACAAGCCAGAAATAGGTCTTTATGTCCAACATTCTATTTGTGTTTGCTTATAAATTTATGTCTGTTATGGAAATTCTCAAGGCAAACTTTGAATTCAATAAATAAAAGATTAAATGACATTTTAAAGTGTTACTTTATACTAAATATAGGAACATTTCAGTAATAAACTTTAAATGTTATATCAGTGAAATACTAGTATAGATCCTCTCTTTTTAATTCTATGTCTCTGAAGAACATAGTTTATAGGATTTATATTCTATAGTTATACTTCTAAAAGATATGAATAATGTGATTCCTCAAAATTCAAATGAATTCATGTTTCTATATATCTACTCAAACTTTTGAGTGTATGTGCGTGCCTTTATGTGTGTATGTAATGTGTGTGTGTGTGTGTGTGTGTGTGTGTGTATTTAGCATGGTTCTCAGACCCTAGGCCTTACACATGCTAGGCACACACTCTACTGCTGTCATGTTTCTATATATCTACTCAAACTTTTGAGTGTATGTGCGTGCCTTTATGTGTGTATGTAATATGTGTGTGTGTGTGTGTGTGTGTGTATATTTAACATGGTTCTCAGACCCTAGGCCTTACACATGCTAGGCACACACTCTACTGCTTAACTACACTCCCAGCATCTTAAATATATTTCAACCATATGTAGAAATGTTTGATTTTGTGTTCAGATCTGAGTTTTAAACAATATAACCTTCATCTGCTTTGTTCATAAATTATTAGCTTCTGTTTGTATAAAATTTCTTCAATACTAATCAATTTTAATTCTAAGTAAAAATAAGGCTAATTTTTCACTGTATGATGCTATAATCACATTCATCAAAAGTATATTTTCTAGAAATTATATTTTAAAATAAATGAGAGAAAAATAATATCTGGCATATAAAAACAGAAAAACGACTGCTTTTGTGGGTTTCTTTGGAAACATAGTATTGTCACTGCTGCGAATGGAATAAAATCTCTGGAATGGAATCCTGTTCGTCTTAGATTTCCCACCTCCTGACTACCATCACCCCCACCCAAGACTGCTGCAGAATGTAAGGGAGTAGGGCTGGATTGATGTCTAGGTCCTTTCTAGCTCTCCGGTTTCAGACTCTATGATTTCACTACAGGCTCCTGGACACAAATGGCCAAGGTGCTCTGTCACACTAGGTGAAGGGGTTACATGGGAGTATCGTTACTACTTGCAGATTAGGGGAGAAGTTTGTGAGATGAACAGTTTAGAAAAGCAAACTTCACAGAGGTCACCATGTTTATAGACACCTTACTGGTGCTGATGCAGTTTCAGTTACATTGTATATAAAGAAAACAGATATGGTGACTGATCCAGGAGTTGAGGAGAGGTGGTAACCTCAGCGTGGACCATTAGCAGAGCATTTCACCAGACTGAACACATGCTGTCATCATGGAGGGTGACGAGGTGGTGTGATTCTACTGCTGCTTTGATCCCTTTGCTGTTTTCTTCCAGGGATTTCCAGGGAACACCAATGCCGACAGTGTGGTGCACTACAGACTCCAGGCGCCCTTCGAAGCCCGGTTCCTGCGCTTCCTCCCCTCAGCCTGGAGCCCTAAGGGCAGGATTGGGATGAGGATCGAAGTGTATGGATGTGTGTATAGTAAGTCCCACTTATTCCTTCCGTGAAGTCAGTGTCCTCACGAGAACTTGTAAAGGCCAAACTGCAAGTGAACTTGACTTTTTCTGATGCTTTAAACAGCTGTGCAAGCCTTCTGTGTCTGTCTCCCAGTGCCAGTCGTTATGGTTGAGTTTAGAGATGGATCTGAACTGAAATTTATTTTTGGATTTCCAGAGTTTAACAAAGTACTTGTGACATTATTGGCATTTATGAATTAGTAAAATCCCATCTAGTACCAACCAGATAAAGGTGTTTTTCTGAAGCTGAGACGGTGCTCAGTATTGGGATGTAGTAGTGGTATTAGGACCAGTTTCTCAGGCCCAGCCCTTGCTCTGTGATGCTGCGGTCCTAACTCTATTTTTCCCTGTTAACATCTTGGGGAAGCCTTTTGTACAGCATGCTGAAGCTTCACTCGATCTTCACTTGGTGGGAGCTTATGTGTACTATCAAACCAGCCTCTTCTCTCTTCTATTAACTGCACTAGAGTAGAAAGACTGAAACTGCTACGAATACAACACAAACACTGAAATTGTAAGGCAGAGCTCTACTAATCAGGTGTCATTTGTTGATTCACAGTGCTCTCCCACTTATTTCTGTACGTCATCATCATGTTTAAAAGTATCATCAAAATGGAACAAAATTAAAAATCCTCTTGCATAAAATGAGAGAACAATCCAAATAGCAGACTGGATGGAAATGTATTAAGCCTCTTAGGTTCGGGTTCAGTTGCATATTTGTATCACACCATTTGCGTGTGGTCACCTCCCTTCTCTGCTTAACCATAGCTTTAGGCTTGAGTATTAATTTTCTAAGGTATAAGAACAATATGCCTTTCATGAAACATTTGTTGTCTCTGATATTATTCTTTATAGTTTATTACTTAACCCCTGTGGAGCCCATTTAATTTCCTAACTCTGCCTCTGTTTTCTTTCTTTTCTCTCATTGAGTTTATTGGTACATTTTAGGTATACAGTACAGTTACATTCATTACTGGGATCTTGTACCTTTACATGACAGGTCTTGGTTCTCATTTTTTCCCCTTGTCCCTGCCCTCCCTTCACCCCCTCCTCCCCTCCCCATTAACAAACACTTTATTTCCACTTTTTCATTTTCTCATATTTTTTTCTTTTCCCTTATTAGCTTTCCCCTACCCTTCCACCCTACGCCTTTAGCCCCTTTCTTCCTAGTTCACATTGTCAATTATATCATTAGGATCTTACGTACTATTAATTTATTCACACCAGAGAAACTATTTGGTATTTACACATGTGTGACATTTATTTTGTTTAGGAGTATATCCTCATTTCTGTAGGTCATTACATAGAATGCTGGTGTTTTAACACCAACACTTTTTCTTCCTCGCATTGGTCATTTCTTTTCATCACTCTTGTTAGGATCTGTAACTGTGCTCACAGTTGCAATGGGTCTGACATGTGATGTTTAGAATTTCTCTGATACTATGATATGGGCTTGCCCTCCCATTACTCTGAAATGACTTCAGGCTTACTGGCTTCAAAGCAGAACATTCTCTTTGATGATCATTCGCCATTAGTGTGATGTTGCTTTGTGAGGAGGTATTACATCAAAACCTTGGGCTTCAGGTTGATATCAGAAAGATCAAAGCTCTGTGTCTGATCCCAGGAAGGACAGGTGTGCTGTGCAGCTCCTTTGGAATCTCCTGGTTCTCTTCACTTTTGTAAACACATATTCTGGAGTGTGAGGGACTTTTGGAAAGAAAATGCAGACAGATAATGTATCATCTCTACTAATTAATATATCACCATTAGAAATTCAAGTCACTTTTTAGAAATAGTAGAATTCAACATTGTTCTCTTAGAAGAATTAATTAAAGAATATTAAATTCAAAAATATTAATTGTATTTCTATTATAAACAGGAATATAACATTTTATGGTTTAGATTAATAAGGGGGATGGTTTTTGGCATTTGTATTCCAAACTGTCATATTTTTTATTCCAGAACTTTGCTCATCAGAGTATGATGTTTCTCAGAGGCAATGCCTTTTCCAGTTTCATTTTATCTACTTTCTTACATTTTGTTTATAGTATTATGTTTATAAGCACTATAAAGCTTGTGGATTATCATGATTTCCTTGCTTAGAACATGGGCTTTCTCTCTTTCCATTTTTAGACTGGGGTTGGGTGGGGATGAGCACCAGGTAACTGGTCACCTGCACAGCAAAGCCAAGGGCAGAGATGGCCAGATGCCCCTTTTGATACCATTGTATTTTGGTGTTTTCTATACCTTTCAGGCTTTGCTCTGTGCCATCCTTAATGAGTTAACACCAATCTGCTTGCTTATTCTAGGCTTTTTAGCCTCCCTCAAGTTGTTACTGGAACTTCTATCCACTTTCATGGCCTCTCACACAGAGGCCATTGACTTCCAAATCTGGATTCTCAAACCTGGGTCTGAGGAGGTTCAAACCTGTCTCCCCCTTGGTTGGTCCCCTCTCCTTCTGGTCTCGTAAACTTCTAAAAGTCAGTTGTCTAAGATGGAATTATCAACCTCACTTCCCTTCTAAAAATATTAAGCATTTTCTGTTGTCTTCTCTTCATAGAATGACATCTTCAGGAATCCATTAGCTCAAGTCTGATCCTTGTTTTTCAGTACATATGAATCTGTCCATCCCTCTCTCCAGGTGCAGTAGTCTAAGGTGTCCTTCAGCCTGCAACAAGTGGCATTCATCTAAATGAGCGAGCTGTCTCCAGGCTTGACCTCTCTATTCTTCGCTCAACACTGAAGTCCTAAGGATTGCTGGAAAATGCAAATGCCTCAGTCACTGTAAATGCTACGCGGGGGCCTCAGACTGAATACAAGATTCTCATACTCTAGTCCTTGCCTACGCTTTCGGCTGTCTCTTTCAGGAACAAGAAAGGAAAAGAAACTCACAAGTTCTTAAACCGGAAACCTCTCTAGGCCTTGACTTACCTGCCACTCTTGCTCTTCAAGTCCTCCTGCTAAAGCACAGAATGTTTTTCTGCTCTACATCAAAATTACTCCTAGCATGATTTTACTTCTCTCCTTCCCAACCTGGTGTCACCCAGATTACTACTGGTATTGCTTTGGATGGGGGGCATGCAGTACAGGAAATTGAAACCAGGGCCTTTTCATGGAGCTGTACCTTTAGCCCTTTTTTATTTTAGTCTCTTTTTTTTTGGCACCTGGGATCGAACTTGGGAGGCAGGCAGCGGAACCACTGAGCTAAATCCCCAGCCCTTTTTATTTCAGTTTCGAGGTAGGATCCTGCTAAGTCACTAAGCTTCCCAGGCTAGGGCTGAGTTTGAGATCTTGCTGTCTTTGCTTCCCAGAATGCTGAGATTACAGGCATGTACCACCATGCCCAATTTGGAAGTGCTTCTTATTGTAGTTCATTCTGTTTCTATTCATAGGCAATTACTCTGCACATTGCACCTTACAGTTACCTTTTCGACTGCAGATCTGGCTGCAACCTTGTGGGTTATATAGTAAATGCACATATAACTTAGAAAATGTCAAACTATTATTCTGATGAGCATATCGTTTTTACATTAACTTCTTTGTGCATCTGTTATTCAACCGTCAATTGATTTTGACAGATGTTCTCTTGTATTATTGATGAAATGCACCTCCTATTTGATGAACTGAATGTTTGACCCTTATAATGACATCATAAGACCTTATCAGAGAGTTGAGAGAAAATGGTGAAATTGTAGCTCTGAGATGCTGCAGCAGGAAGACCAGAAATGGCGCTATTAAAGTCATGCTCTCTCAACAAAGGTCCAAACAAGAAATGTGTGTTCCTTTATTAGTTAGGGTTCTCTAGAAACACAGCCAACAGGATATCTGGTGTGTGTTGGTGAGAAGAGAGTGTTTTAAAGAAGACTCAGCTGATTGTAGGGCCTGGAAAATCTGAAATTTGCAGGAAAAGTCAGCAGATTCCCTGGAGATGCACAAAAGAGCAGAGACAGCTAAAGGCCAAAGGGAATCCGGAGGCAGAATTCCTTCCTTAATAGAAATCAAATAATAGTAAATGCCGGGGAGGCTGTGGGGCTGAAAAAGGATCCCTTCTACTTTGTTGGTGGGAATGCAAATGGATTAAACCACTGTAGGAATCAGCATGCAGATTCCTCAAAAAACTAAAAATAGAAATTTCACTCCCCCAAGCTATTCTCTGTCTAAGTATCATCCCAAAAGAGTTAAGGATATCAGGCCAGCACCAGGTCCTGAGTTCCATCCCTGGTACAAAAAACAAAAACAAAACAAAACAAAAACCACCAAAAATCAAGAAAGAGTTAATGATATCATATTACAGTGATTCACGTATACCCATGCGTATAGCAGCACAACACAGCCTACACTAACGAATGGATAAAGCAAATGTGGCCTTTATACTCAATGGAGTGATAGTTAACATAAGAAATATCTTAAAATAAATAAAGTATTAATGGAAATACAATCTTCCCTGATTTTTTTTTAAAAAATCAAACAGAAGGAGAAGAAATAAACCACTATAGAGATGGGAGCCACTGCGAATAGATTAAGTATTTAGTACATCAACTTATGATACTAGTAGAAATTATATTACTGTCAGTTTTTCCTAAGCGAACAGACTAGAAGTTTATAGGTGTGTTGTGGTATAATAAGACATATTTTCAAAGTGCCAGTGTACAGCACATCTCTATATTTAGTATTGTTTTGAATATCCTTTTTCCTAGGATCTGAGGTGATTTATTTTGATGGACAAAGTGCTCTGCTGCACAGATTTGATAAAGAATCCATAGCACCAACAAGAGATACTATATCTTTGAAATTTAAAACCAGGCAGAGCAATGGAATTATACTCCACAGAGCAGGACCACATGGAAATGACTTTACATTGGAATTAATTAAAGGAAAGCTTGTCTTTTTTCTTAATCCAGGTAAAAAGCATTTTTACTTTCATGCAGTTTAAAAAATCTTTTTGGATGAAAATACATGTGTTGGTACTTCATTTTTTCAGAGTTAGGTAAAGGGGCCACAAGCTTTATCATCCAAATTTGGAAGGTAAAAGACAGAGCACAAACAGTAACTCTGGGTGCGCAAAGCAGAATCGTCCAGAAAAATGTGAATGAAAGGGTCAGAGCCTTGGTAACAAACATATGTAGATGTGTATATCTCTTGTATGGTTTATGCATATAGCATGTATTTTGACAACCACGAATGTTATTATAAATGCATTATATATAATTAAATGTAATCATATATATAAGACTACATCGTTGTGAAACTGAGATGCTATTGATAATGACATTCTGGCAAAGAAAATACTTGCAAGGCAAATGTGAAGGTCATGAATAATAAAAATAAATCATTAAAAAACCTAATCCAAAGACTATTGAAATAAATAAAAGATAATAGAACAAAAGATGTAAAGATGTTGTGTGCAAAATGAAAAAAGTCAGATGACAACAATATGGGATAGAAAGGTGAACGTAAAGTGTACTACTGATTTAACAAAGGGAGACCATGGATTTTAACAAAACTAACTCAGTGTGGTTTCTTTCTCTCTTTTAAGGCAATGCTCCTGCGCCTCCTACAGACACTCCTGTTACTCTCACCCTGGGCAGCCTGCTGGATGACCAGCACTGGCATTCTTTCCTCCTCGACATCTTTGGCACACATGTCACCCTCACTTTGGACAAACACTCTTATCATTTTCATGCAAGGGAATCCAGTTACATGGATTTCAATTTTGAGGTTAATACAGATGGTATATTTTAAATAAAATGATTACATGAAAAACAATAATCCTAAGAGATGCTATTTCATGATGATACATCGTGCTGACTAATACATAAAAATACATATTTTCAGGTTCCTCTAACCTGTGTATCCCTCACAATAGGACACTTTATTATTATAGAATATCTTTTCCATATGACAGGAAGTAGACAGTGGACTGCTAAGTTTAGGAAATTTTCTACAAATGAAGAGATTTCAAGACAGAAAACAACACTATTAAATATATTTCCTTTAAAATTCATCTGCTATTTTACATTTGTTGTTTGCGATGAACAGATATTGGAGGATTTCTTTCTTGTCTTAGTGTAATCCTAATCAACATAGGACCACTCTGTGGAGTTAACCAGATATATACTAATAGGTTTGTGAAGTAACAAAAGAGGTAGGTGTACACATATAAATAATTCTTTAACCTTTTAAAGGATTTAACACCGCTCTGCAGTGCATTGTCAGTGTGTATCTAAACCACACTCTGAATAACACCTATTCTGCTATTTCTTCATAGGACATGTTTAAGTGTATGAATGATAAGAGAAAACTAGGAAAGCTGTGCTGTATGTCTGGTATAGATGGTTTTGGTACCATAATATCTACCCTGGTCCTATACTGGTTATTCACAATTTTATTGCCTTGATTTAACTGTTAATAGCAGAAGATAGTACACACATTCGGGGTTGGCATTTCATAGGCCTCAGACCAAAACTGGCCTTTTGTTTTTGTTGTCTAAAAGTAACCTGTTTTTATTATTTAAAAAAGATTTTATTGGAACACTTGTCCATTTTATTTTCCTCATTGAGTTTATTGGTACTTTTAAAGTAAGAAATCTATTTTCTATGGCTGCTTTGGTCCTACAGTGGCAGAGTTGAGTCATGCGAGAGGGACCTACAATATCTCCAAGCCAAAAATGTTGACTATGTGGCTTACAAAAGAGAAAATTTACTACCTCCTTTCTTTAAATTTATATGAAAAGGATGGCACCAGAAATAACACTATCAAAAGTGCCATAGTAGTAGAGACTTCAGTCAAAGCCAAGTGTTGAAATGTAAAATGATGCAGAGGGATTTGTGACAGATAATTAGTTCTATGCCTGTTCATCACAGATGTTTTCACAACATGATCAGAAAACCACTGAACCGTGTTTATGTCATTTTTCCTTCTAAGATCAGCTTCGGAGGGATTCCAACTCCTGAAGGAGCCCTGGCATTCTCACATAAAAACTTCCGTGGGTGTTTAGAAAATCTTTACTATAATGGAGTGGAAATTATTGAATTAGCCAAAAAACACAAAGCAGAAATCCTGGTAAGAAAGTCTAAAGGAGGGGGAGTAAAAAAGGGTTATTATTTTTTTCCTTATTTGCATATAAAAATATTCTTCTTAAGTATTCAATTAATATAATATTTTTAAAATTAGCTTTACTTTTAAAATATTTACCATTTAATGTAACAATTTTTATTATACATATAAAGTATATGCCTAAGTATATACTTATTATAAAATAAAATAACTATTTTTGCATGGAAAAACTTATCTCATGTTTTGAGTATTATTATTCTCAAGGGAACAATTATTTTGTATTGAAAATTCCTAATGAACTGCTCCATGCTTAATTGGAATTGCTTTTAGATCAGTCAATAAACTTTCCATGCTTAAATTAAAAATACAAGTTAGAGGGCAAGTTCATGTCTGTGGTTAGCAGATCTCAGAAGCATGTTATGGTACTTAGTATTTATTTGTGTGGGTTTGAAAAATGTTTTCTCCCTTGTGATATGTTGCAAGGAGTTGGCTTTGGGGTTCTAGGACAAAAATCTGAAGATATCATTGGCCCTAGGACAATAGGCCTGGAAATAAGACCAACTAGGGTTATTCTGGGGCAACCACTGAGGTTATGACTCAGCATGGCTACAGTTGTGTCAAGCTGAATCCTTACGGTCAGAAAATCTGCAGCTGATAAAGAAAAACATGCAATTATCCACTGATTAAGTTCAGACCATGAATTAGTGTCTTTACTCTTAAGTTTTTTGAATTTAATTAATTATAGCACATTTTTTGTGATAAAAGTTACATTACATTCAGCAGAATTTTTAAAGAGCCAAGAATGTTCTGATTTTTGTATATAGTAATATGGTAATGCATATTACTTGTTCTTTTAAAAATGAAAACCAAATTACACTTATTTCTGAAATATGTTAGGACAGCATTTTTAAAAATATGATTCTGCTTTGACGTAACTTTAATCCCCACTCAGTGATGCTTAAATGTGGCTTCTTGTTGGAAACACTAGGGTGATTTAAAATATACTGTTACCTGAATCTGCTCCCAAAGATGGGATTTAATTGGTCTACATGTAGATTTTTTTACTTTTTTCTTCATTCATTTTTATCCTGGGCCTTGTGCATATCTAGACAAGCAATCACTTTACCACTGAGTTATATCTCCAACCCTGATTGGGTTATTTAATAACCTTCTAGTGAACCATTCAACAAAGCCTGAGAACTACTGCCCTAAATTACCTATTTTGCTTTGGTAGTGCTGTTTTGTTTTGTTTTCTAAAATCCTATGTAGTATATTAACAGGAGTAGTTCAGAGAAAATTTCAATTTGAATCAGAATAACTTTTTATTTTCTGGAACTGAAATTCATATGTATAAATAAATACCCAAGAATTGTTTCTTTGACCACCTAAAATGAAAATGACATTACAAAAAAATAAGATGGGACTTACTTTGCCAGATATTAAACATACTAACAGGCGCTGTACTTAGAATTGGCATGGTGTTGGATGGGAGAAGACAACTCAGTCAAACAAAGCAGAGATTCCAGAAAGATCTCAGTCTATATGCAAAATTATTAGTAACACGGTATATGGTTCAGCTCAGTACAAAAGAGATGAATTAGCTCATAAACTGTGCTGGAACAAACAAGTGTCTATAGAGCAATAAATAAACTTGGATAATTATTTTATACACAGCAAAACTATATTTTAGGAGGATGAGAAACAAGTGATAGTAATTCTTGGAAGAAAGTCAGTGCATTTATGTTATAAGCTTGGGAGGATGAAACTTTTCTTTAAACAGATTGGAAACTCAGAATCTATACAAGAAAATATAGACATGATTGGCTGCATAAAAATGTAATTATATTTCCATACTAAAAATACCATAAAATCTTTGTATATAACTATTAGATCTGATAAAATATTTTCCAACACTGTAAAAGTGTCCCAAAGGTGAAATAATATGACCTATACAAATGCTAAATAAGCATGTGTCAAATATGTAACCAACTTAATAATTAATGAGAGAATCAGCAAAATAATGAAACGGGCACAAAGAAGATTTGAAGCAATGTTTTTTCAGGAAAGACCAAATGTTGTTTAGAAAGAGTCAGGACATAGAAATGTGTGGCTCATTATTGTATCTCAGATCTAGCAGAGGACCTGGGAAATAACTGACATAGAATTGAGTTTCTATTACATTACAGTATGTTAGGATCCCTTTGCTAATACTGAGATAGAAAAGTGAAGATTTCACAAAAAAAGCACCGGGAGTAACTTTGCCCAACTATGATTATGTTCATGTTGGAAAATACATTTGATTTAAACTGTATCAGGTAGACTAATTTATATAATCCTGGATTGAAAAAAATAAATCTTTGCAAACTCAATCTTTAATTTTACAGAATCACTACTCTAAAACCTTTTCATGTATCCCTTTTTTTTTAATTCATAGGGAAATGTGTCCTTCTCGTGTCCACAACCACAGATTGTCCCCGTGACTTTCTTGAGCTCCAGGAGTTACTTGGCTCTGCCAGGCAGTGCTGGGGAGAACAAAATATCTGTCAGTTTTCAGTTTCAGACATGGAACAAGGCCGGCCAACTGCTTTCCAGTGAATTTTGGCATGGCTCTGGAAATTTTGTCCTCTTTCTTAAGGATGGAAGACTTAAACTGAGTCTCTTCCAGCCAGGACAGTCCTCAAGGAACATCACAGCAGGTAACACATGTGTTCCCGCACCTTTGAAAGAAACTCTAGTTAGTCAGCGAGTGTGGAAATGAGATACTTAATTCCTTTACTTGGCATCTGGAACCGGATTGCCGTTTCCTTTTAGGTGATTCCAGGCTGTTTATTTGTGGGGCACACTAGCCCTCACTACAGTGAAAGTTAACCTACAACGATCATGTAGAAGAAATAAGAAATGCACATTTCTGCAGATATAGTCCTGATATGCATAAAAATATGTAATATCCTTAAACTCCGTGTCCTGACAAATGTATACTTCACCTCCATCCCAAAGCAATATAGAGGGAACCTCATGAAGCAGACAAACAGATATTTACCTTTTTTCTCTCTTCTCTTCATCTTTCATCCATCTCCTCCTCTCCTCTTCTGTTCTGTGGAGAAATATTCTATACCTGGTAGGCGGTTGACGCCAGCAAACTCTCAGAGTTCTTTTTTTGACAGCTGATTCAAACCTAACAAGAGATTGGTACTGATGTTCTGAGTGTTATGGAAAAGTTTGGTCATACAGAGTTGATTGAATTTTCTTAATTGGATTTACAAATGTAACAAGGCCTGAGTCCTAAATCAGCACCATGCCTACATTAGCATCTGAACCAGATGAGAGGGAAACTTTAAGAAAGAAGAAAGGGCGGAAGACGAGACAGATGTCCTGCTTGATACCAGGCAGTTGTCAGACCTAAAATGGTAATGATTTTGGCCAGAGGCTACTTGACTAGACTGCTATTGAATATTGCTTATGAAAGTAAGATGTTGAGACCTGTGAAGAAAGAACTCAGAGTGAGACCTTATTTCAGTAATTCTGGAATAATCCAGCGAGCCCAGAAGTTAGAATCTGTATCTATCCACCTCTGATCCCAGATAAAGCTGGAAGATAAAAACACAGGTATTTAGATAGGATATATATTCTATTCTTTGTCTTTTAAAAATGCAAACTTATTTTTGTTTCTTCAGAAATAACACCCCCCCCTCAAGAAAGTATAAAAGCACGGGCCACACAATATAGAAAATTAACATTTGTCAAAGATTTTATTTAATTCGTTAATTAATGAAGGAAACAGTGCTGTGGAATAAATCATTTGCCAATTTAGTGAATCTTCTTTACAAGATAGAAAAGAATGAAATAATTTTGTTATTGGAAAAGTAAGTATTAAGCCAGATTGTGCTGAGCATGTCAGGTGGTTGCTAATGAGACTACAAAGACAGAGGGAAAGCTCACCTCTCATGTAGCCAGCCAGATAGAATCTATTACACACGTGCCCCCAACATGAAACATAACTTGTCTTCAAGTAAGAGGGCTTGACGGCACCATTTGCTACACATGATCTATCCTAAATTTACTTGCTAGTTGGTTTTTGTAATAACTCACTGTCTTTATAAAAAAAGCTAAACTAAACTAAAACTCCCCATATCTCTTGAACAAACAGTAATCACAGGTGTTGGAACCAGCACCTAAGTTCAACACCCACGGAGGTAGCTACTATCTTCAAGGGAAACATCCCTGGATTGTAGAACAAGAAAGAGGTTAAATAATTTTTTATAAAGTTTTTAAAATTTTATTTTAAAATTCAATGTTTTGAAAAGATTTATATACACCTAAAAAGGCAAAGAAAGAATTTACAACTGCAAGTTTTCTAGTGGAAATACTCCAAGAAAAGAAAAAGGAGGATGAGTGAAAGTTTGTCACCCTTTTTGTTTCTGTATTTGCTTCTTTTATTTTTTTTTGGTACCAGGGATCAAACTCTGGACCTTGTGCTTGCGAGGTAGACAGCGGAACCACTGAGATAAATCCCCAGCCCTCCATATTTGCTTTTTAGATTTGTATAAAGCCAGTTCAAAAGCTAAATCCAGCCATTTAAGAAAAGAACCCCAAGTACTATAGAACTACAAGTACTTTATAAAAAAGGAATGCTGAAATGAAATGAGAAGTGAATGCAAACCTAACAAAACTTGTCAAGATCCACAGGCAGAGGGAAATGAATTATTCTTTCCCTGTACAGAAAGCGTATATCTACAGAGAAGTGTTATTTGCATCACTGTTTTCTGCAAATTAATTTCTATCTATACACAGGTGTAAAATAACCTCATCAAAGATAAGGGTTGATAGACATCTGAAATAAGGTTTCTCCTTCCCTTGAAAAGATATTCAGTAATCTCTTTTGTAGGTTTCAAAGACTTTTCACTTTTTTCCTACAGTAATTAAACTGTATTGCTAATGTGTTGCATATATTCTAGATGAAATGAAGTACTGGGTGAGCATTTTTCCTGGTTCTGGCTTGCACAATACTGGAATTAAATATAATAAAAGTTCTTAAATAGCATCATATTCTACTTTAACTTATGGCTTTGTGAGAGATATCTTTTCTCTCTGAATTTAAAATGCTCCCATTCTTAATTAGATTACCTATATGAAAACATGATTAAAATAGTGTCTATGTTCTGGACAATTAATTAATTTCATAAATTAATGTTAAAGTGTTTATAGTATCCTGTATCTGATTTCTTTGGGTAGAAACCATAGCCAATGGCCAATTATAAACTCAAAGAAAAAATTATTTGGTGTTGTGATATTTAAACGTCACTTATATGAAGATGCACTTTTGTATGTCAAATATTTTTAAAGAGTGCATCACTAAAACTTGGTACAAGATTAAAAATTATAAAAAATACATGTCAAAGATTTTACTTCACTCATTAAAGAGGGAACCATTAATGTGCTACATAAAATTCAAAGGAAAATCCAGAGAATCACAGAGATGTAAGCAATAAGCTGGAGTGAATTTACATACAATGAGAAGCAACCCCTGGGATGGGGTTGGAGAGCAGAACGGTTATCTTCCCACACTAATGTCTGTGGACAAGGATGATTCATGTACTTTGACTGTTGTATAGTTTACAGAGTGATAAAACAACTCAAAGAGGAAGGATGAGAGGCCCAGAGGCCCATGGAATCAAATAATCCCAGACATTGTGTTTAGACAATGCCATTCTTATGAAGAAGGTATTTTGTAATTCTGGATTATCTCAGAGCACAGTGTTTCCCCTATACATCACCCTTATGCATTTCTATTTCTGATATACACGACTGGAGGGTTAAAAGGGCAAACTGAAATACTAATGTTATTTGAGCATAGATTTCTTTTACTATCATCTAAAATGTTAAATTTATATAAAAATTCTCATTAATCTAGAGTTTATTATGATAAAGTTGATTCTTGCAGATATTGACTTAAACACCAGCACAATGTTAATTTAGTAGGCTAATTTTATTTTAAGCTCATTTTTGACACATATCTTTGACATATTTACCAGAGGAAAGAAAATATGGAATATCTCTAGTGATTTTAAAGACTTCAATGTTTTAATTTACCATCAAAGAGAATTCATTATGCTTCCATATAATTTTCAAAGATTAATTGCAGAGCTAATATAAGAATAAAATAATATACATATTAGAAATATATAAAAATAGTGTACTTATATATAAAGCATTTTTGTTGTTGTTGTTTTTTGAGACAGGGTCTCACTATGTAGTTGAGACTGACCTGGAGCTCACTATGTAGCCCAGGCTGGTCTCGAACTCACAGCGATCCTCCTGCCTCAGCCTGCCAAGTGCTGGGATTACAGGTGTGCGCCACCACACCTGGCTCTCCAAAGCATTTTAAATCAAATATTAAATATCAAATATTAAATAATGATGTTTAAAAGAAAATACAGTTATACCTATAACCATAATGTGTTTATTCAAAGAACACAACATATGTTAAAGATTTTACTTAAACTCATTAATAATAAAAAATAAGATGTTACAGTTGGCTCAAAGGAAAATTCATAGTACCACACATAGTGGTAGATAAAGAGCACCAAAATGAATTGATTAAAAGATATGAAATGGATCAATAACCAAATATATGTTTCTCACAGGCACGGTAATTTGCATTTCTATGGATAAAAAACCATTTTGTGTCACTGTTAGTTTTCTGTAATTTATGGAGTTTTGAAATAGCTCAAAGACAACACGTGTACTTACCTAAATGGGTGCTCACATGGATATTCAGTGATTTCTTTCCCCCTTTCAAAGCCTTTCACAAGTATTTATGGCTCAACTTTACCAACTCTCTTGCTTCTTTGAAAATAATTCCTTCTATTAGATTCAATGAAGCAAGTAAGTCATGCATATGAAGATTGAACTGAACTGCATTTTGTAATCCCATTGGTAAAGACTTTTGACATATATATTTGATAATTAAATATTAGGTGCTACTTCAAACACATGATCACACTCTACATTCTTTAGGAGGAGTAATATTTTCAGTCATGTGTTATTGTCATCATAAATGAAATCCTTTCACTAAAGAAAAGTGGTAATTTTTTCTCAGTGATGCACAAAAGCATAAATACTCTCCTGACTTACTCGTGATCTGGAAAATTATTTTTAAGTGTTTACAAAGTTCATCATCGATGTTCTTTCCTACAGGTGCTGGACTAAATGATGGGCAGTGGCACTCTGTGTCCTTCTCTGCTAAATCGAGCTGCTTGAGTGTGGTGGTGGATGGCGAGGCAGCTGGGCAGCCCCTGGTGACCAGGCCCATGGTGTCAGGCAGCACCTATCACTTTGGAGGTGAGGGAGGCAGCTCCAGCACACTGGCTTGGGACCCTTGCTGGGTCTCTGGTGAAATTTAAATCAATACAAAGCAATAACTTATATCTTTCTATGAAGTAATTATCTCTGAGCTTTTAATGAATATAAAAAGTGTAATCGGGCCGGGGATTTAGTTCAGCGGTTCGGTGGCCTGCCCTAGCAAGCACAAGGACCCGAGTTCAATCCCCAGTACCAAAAAAAAAAAGAAAAAAGTGTAATTGTTCTCATACAAATATAAATAGCCGCAGCAAGTTTTTGTGTTGCTTAAATAACTTAGTAATTCCACTCAAATTGAGAGAAAATACACTTTGGGTACATATAATAAATGAGAAATAAGTAGAATTTTAAAAACTTTAAATGTCATAATTAAGTCTCTAGAATAGATCTTTTAAATATTTACCAGTGTAACTTGTAAAAATAAAGCAAATATTGGCTTGTCATTGACTTCCATAGAACTTATTTATACTTTTAATCTATGTAATTGAATCATTACTACCCAGCTCAATTTGTAGATAAATAGATATTTTTAATAGGAAGTGTCAAATTGACTTAAAGAGCTTTGCAAACATTGAAAATAATAAAAAAGAATTAATTAGTAAAAGGCAAGCATATTAAATGAATCTATGGTAAAAACTAATGTTACATTGGCAAAAGGACTTATAAAAAATAAAAACAACAGAAAAATAAAGGACTACATTTTTGTGTCCTCTTAAAATTTATACTTTGAAAATCTAGCCCCTAAGGTGATATTATCAAGAGTCCTTGATGAGTATCATTGCCTCCACGACCTACTACTCATGAGATGGAGCCATTCTCTGTGGGATTCGTGCCCTTTAGAAACAAGATTCCAGAAAACCCTCTACCCTTCTTTCTGCTATGTAAGGACACAGCAAGAAGGTGGCTTTTTTTTTTTTTTTTTTTTTTTTTTTTGGTACCGGGGATTGAACTCTGGTCCTTGTGCTTGCAAGGCAGGTCACTGAACCGCTGAGCTAAATCTCCGGCAAGAAGGTGGCCGTTTATGAGCCAGGAAAGAGACTTCACCAGAATCTACATCTCGCCAAGAAAATTGGACCTTATACTGTACTTTCCTACCTCTAAAACTGTGATAAGCATTTGTTGTTTATGCTTCAGAAATAATAACTCCTCCAGAATTGTTGGTTATGAGACATTTCAGCCTGTGGCATTCTGTTATAGCAGCCTGAACTGAATAAGACAACTGATGTGACTAAAGAAATAGAAACGGGTTGATTTATTTGACTGGGAAGAAAATTTGGCAATTTATTAGAAGAAGCACCAAAACAATAACAACAAAACCCAGCCATGGATCCTAGAATGTTTCTTGGTTTTGGTACCTGGGATCAAACTCAGGTCCCTCTGCTTGTGAGGCAGGTGGTGGTGGCGGAACCACTGAGCTAAATCCCCAGCCCCCTAAAATGCTTTTGTGAGATACTTTGGGAGTCCAAAGTGGGGCTTATGGACGTGGGAAGCAAATTAAATACTCATGTGAGTAAACACATCACAACACAGCATGGACACCAGAGTGCGTTCTTATCATTCTATATCCACATATGTGGAGGAGAACAAGTTTTGAGGTACATAGGAAATTCCATGATGAATTTCCATACAGACAGCCACTTATCATTACACACGTTGTTAAAACCTAACACTCGAGTGTCACCATGTAATTCAGTTATGGATAATTTTTGCTGGAAATCACAATATACCCCTCCTTTCTTTCTGCGCGTGCTGTGTGCATTGCTTAGGGGGAACTCAAGGCTTCACGCGTAGGAGTCAAGTGCTCTAACATTGAGCTGTACCCTCGATTCAGTCCTCTTCTTTTTTGTAATGAAAATCATATATAAATCTAGTAAAATACAGATTAGTAAAAAACCTTTGGATGCAATTCTGTACATTCCCTTCTGCCTCGTCACTATCTGTGGGGCTTCATGTTGAATATGTACCTATCCAAGTACACGGCTCACATACCCACAGGCTTCCCTGAGGTATATGCATATTCATATACACTTCTGTTTCCTTGGGAAAATACTTGATAATGTTTCTAAACACAAACATACAAAAGCAAACAATATTTCCTAAAGGTAACTGGGCATGTAGCTGAGTGGTGCCCTTCCTGCCTGGCAAGCGCAAGGTCCTGAGTTCGATTCTCAGTACCAGAAAAAAATTTTTTTCACAAAGACGTGCATAATATTTTACGGTAGGCAAAATGACTCCAAAAGATGTCCTCATCCCTGAAATCTGGCATCTTTGAATAAAGGACTTCACAGTATCGTGCTTGGGCGGGGGCAGTTGGGGAGATTAGCAGCAGGAGAATGTCTTCACTGTTGTTGTCTACAAGATGGAGCAGTGTGCGTAGGCAGGCGGACAGTCTAAGGGGGTTGAGCAGGGCCTCGTTCCCCCTGGCATGGGAACTGAATTCTCCAAATCTGTGGATACTCCTGAAGCTTATTTCCCCCCAGACCTTCCATTTAAGAGCCCAGACTGGCTGTCACCTTGATTTGGCCCTTGTGAGACTCTAAATAGAATGATTGGTCCCTTTCCCCCTGCACTTCTAAACTGAGATGATGAAGGAGCTTGTTTGATGCCTCTGAGTTTGTAGTAATTTTGTCACAGCAACAATGAAAAATAGATACACAGTCCAACCTTCACCTGAATCTTCATTTACTTACATTCTTACTGAGTTCAAAACACCTGGCCAATGGCCAAGTGAGAAAGGTTTGCTCAAACACACCCTGAGAATATGCTGAAAAAGATCCACATAAGTACAAGGAAACTGGTTTCAACAAAAACCCAAAATGCCAGAGGCAGTTTTTAGTGTTTGCTTTTGTTTAGATTACACGTGGTCTCAGAGCTAAAGTAACATACATGATTATCAACCATACACCTAAGAATAGAAATACGAGGCTAGTCCAGACCATACATACGTATATATCCTACATGGTGTTGATCTAAATAGTTAGCAGAGAGGATTTTAAAGAAACTCACCACACGAAAATGATTAAAGGGGGCCAGGGATTTGTCTCAGTGGTTCTGCCGCCAGCATCACAAGAGCAGTGACCCGAGTTCGATTCCCCAGTACCAAAAAAAAAAGAAAATGATTAAAGTTTAAGGTGATGGATATGCTATGTACTCTGAGTTTATCATTACCATATATATATATATATATATATATATGAATCAAAATACCACATTGTACTGCATAAATATGTACAAATTTAAGAGGCAGGGTATTTAGCTCAGTGGTTCCGCCATCTGCCTCAGAAGCACAAGGTCCTGAGTTTGATCCCCGGTACCAAAAAGCAAAGCAAATGAACAAAGATTAACTTAAAACTTTCTAAGTTAAAAAAAAATGAGGTCATTAAGGTTCCAACCCAATGTGACTGATATCCTTCTAAAAAGGGAAGTATGCCCACAGACGGAGAGGGAAGACCCTGGGGACAGAGAGGCTCCGTGTGAAGGCGGGCATGGGAGCCCTCCCCGCACACTGCTGCGTGGACTTCAGAGACTTCCACTGGGGCTCGAGTCTGTCCCTGGCCCTACCAACCTGCTGCGCCCACTCTGCCATCCACCTCCTTATTTTAATATTTTTATTTTAAAATATCTAATTGACAAAAATTATATTTTAAGATGTACAACATGATAGCTTAATGTGGATGCATATTGTGTACTAATAGCACAGCCAAATTAGTTAAGACATTTATCCCACCATAGTGACCTTTTGTATGGGGCAGAGCGAGGCTCCTTAAAATGTGCTTTTTTTTTTTTAAACTTCAAGCAAATAATACAGTGTCATTAACTATAGTTACTGTGCTGGAGCCCCTTATTTTTAATGGGGGTAATGAGAAAAGATTGTTGAATTGTAAATGGAAACACGTGTCTACTAGTTCACATCTAGGGGCTGATTTCAAGCAAGTCATATTTCACTTCCTTCCCTCCATCATGTTACTCTCTAGGATAGCTACAGTGCTAACTGATCATTGGTGTTGTTTCCCCCTGTTTTACTTGCTGCTTTTATAGCATTGTGCAGGTGCTCCCCAGGGCCCTGGATCCTCTGGAGAATTTTAGGAATGTTTTTCCAAAAAAATACAAAAGGCCTTGTTTGACCCAATCGTTTAGCTCAATCAGTTATTTCAGTTTCCCTTTGTTGCCAAAGGTTAATTCAGGGGACATTGCAGTAAATCAGCAGCATATGAGCCTTTTCTGGATAATAATCAATGGACTTTGCTAACTCACTGATAGAGAGCAACACAAAAGCAGCACAGCCTTGGAGAGGGAGCACAGAGAAGGGAGGTTGTGGATCCGTCTTCATCCCCGGATGTCCCCACGGAAAGTCCTTAGTCTTCAAATGGCAGGAAGCGCACAAACGATGTATCCCACTGCCTTGGCGGTTACCCAGGGCAACCCTTCCACAGAGCACATGGTGAAATGGAGGAGAACGTCACCCTTCGAAGCTCTGATCACTGTCTTTCCTTGTGTTCTGAGAAACGCGCGTCGGACGGAAGTTGATTTAGGTTGCTTGCGACATATGGTAGATTTTGTAACAGTCCTAAGGAACAAATTATTTTGTAAATCGGTAAAGCATATTCAAGGTCTATTATTATTTCAAGAGCAAAGATTTAGGAAGGACTGAGAGAGAAAAGAAAAATACTGTGCACATTTTAAAGTGATACCAAATAAAATTAAAAATAGAAATTTGTCAAATGATGAATATAATATGAGCACTTATGGCCTAACATCCTGCATGTGAGTCTGAATAATTCCCTATCATTCAAGAGCATAGTTCCATAAGTATATACATATAATGTAATATATCCTTGTCATTTTATTCATGTTATAATTTTATTCATTTTTACTGTGAAATAGATCATATGTATATTTAGAAAATGCCACTATTATCTTTCAAAAGAATGTATGTATCCATTATATGAGTAAAATATGTTTTATCAGTTCTAGAATCCAATTCTACTATTGTTAGGCAATTTCCTTTCTGTTTTTACTTTTTACAAAGTTAATACTATAAAATTTATTTTTATAATTATCCTTGAATATGTTTTGCGTGAATTTTACCTTTTCCTTATGCATGTCTATTTAACAAGTTATTCATTTGTACAAGTACACTTAGGAAAACAGTGGATCATTTTTAGGAGCATAAGGTGGTTGTTCAGTTGAACACAGAAGCCAGAAACAGATGATTTATTCCATAGGAACAGCCTGCAGTGCAGTGGATATTCGTTACCCACTTTAGTACCCAAGAGACCACATGATCTGAATCCTTCTGAATGTTGAGCATTGCACTGTCAGAAGTAGTCCATACCTGCCTCTGAAATTGCACTAGGAATTAACAATGTAGAAGAGAAATTAATGAAAAACACATAATGTCTACAATCATTCTTTAATGACTAATACTATAAAAGTTGAAAAATAAAGCACAAAGTTGTATACCACAAACTTGGTAAAAAAATGGTTGTGAAATCAACATAAAAGAACTTTCTCTTAAAAGTGCAAACACAAATTTTCTAAACCTAAATTTCATAACACAAAATTAAATTATTCAATATGTCATCTTTGGCATTATGCCATTATGAAAGATGTTGCATTCATATCTGTACATTAGAATTAATACTTGTTTAGATTAGACACAAACATACTATGGCCAATGACTTTTATACAGGCATACCTGAAGAGTTGTTTCATATTTTTAAAGGGTTGAAAAAAAATCCAATAGTGACCATATTATTATCCACAGAGCCTTATGCATTTACTATCTGGTCTTCTACAGAAAACATTTGCAGATCCTTTAGATAAATATTTTATGATTTCATTCTACAGTTGTCTTCAAACAGAAATTTATTTTATAATTATTGTTTTATCTTTATCTATAGTGAGTATTTTCATTTTTTCTTACTCATTTGGCAACATGTAAATCAAAATTAAATTATTAGGATTTTGTAGTGTAGCTCAGTAGTGCTAGTTTCTTATTTGCTTGGATTAATGTACACATAACAGTGTATAATTTCAAGGTCATGCTCTTGCCCATAGTTCTTATAAAAGTATTACTCTTCTAAAAAGCCCGCACAAGGGAAATTGTGCAGAAGCATTGGCATTTTTATCTTAGGTGAAGCTAGTTGATCACTGAGACATAATATTTAATTTATAATGGAAACAGCCAAGTATGTTTTATTTTTTTAATCATGGAAATTTTTTATTAATTTTTATTATTTATCATTACAGATCTTAATAGGATGTTGGTTTGAGTTGCTTTTTGTGTTCTTCATATTAGAATATAGTCTTTGGCTATATATGCAGCTAAAGCATTTACTTAAAAAAATTCTCACTAAAAAAGCCATTCTAAATATTAGTATCCAAAAGGTATGAGATTATTTAATTATCAAATATATACACATCATAACACACAAAAACACAGAGAGGATATCTAACATGTTTTACATACATATGAAAATCCAACTGCATATTTTAAGTAATGTTTTTTTATACTTCCTAAACCCAGCTACTTAAATGAAATATTGGCTATGATGAAATCATTTTATCTTCAACTCCTTTCAAGTTAAAAAATTTTATTAGGACATGTTTGCAGTGCAGAATAATTGCATTTATCATGAAGAGTCGGTACATGGACACAACACATAATTAACACATAACATATGATTTAGCTATTATGAGCTGCACTGCTTTAAACATGGGTATGCTTGTATCACTGTAATATGATGTATTTTAACTTTTTCAGGAAGATATCTAGAAGAGGAATAGCGTGGTAGAATGGAACTTCTATTTTTAGTTTTTTGAGGAATCTACACCCTGATTTCCTCAGTGGTTGTCCCAGTTTATACTCCCACCAACAATGGAAATGAGTTCCTTCCCCCTGCTGCCTCACAATCATTTTTATTGTTTGGTTTCTTGATGATAGTGATTCTTTCTGGAGTAAGATGGAATCTCAGTGTTATTTTAATTTACATTTCTCTAAAGACCAGAGATTTTGAAGAGTTTTTCATGTATTTCTCAGCTATTTGTACTTCTTATGAGAAGTGTTTATTCATTTCAGTTGCTGTTTTTTTATTTGGTCTTTTATTTTGGTGGGCTATTTTTGAGGATTTGTAAATATATGCTAGATACTGTTCTCTATCTGAGGAGTAGGTGGCAAATTTTTTCCTATTCTGTAGGTTACCTTTTCACTCTATTGGTTGTTTCCTTTGTTATACTGAAGTTTTAAATTTGATGTAACCCCATTTGTTGATTCTTAATGTTATTTTTTGTGCAACTGAGGTTCTGTTCAGAAAGTCCTTGTCTGTGTCTGTGTCTTTAAGAGTTTTACCTATTTTACTCTCCAGCAGATTGTTTGTTTTATATTTATATCTTTGATCCATTTTTATTTTATTTTAGTACATAGTGAGAGATATGAGTCTAGGCATATGGGTAGCCAGTTTTCCTAGCACCACTTGTTAAGGAGAATATCTTTTCTCCAGTGTATGTTTTTGGTCCCGTTATCAAATAGCAGATGTCTGAATTGCCTGGGGTTGTTTCTGCAGTCTCCATTCTGTTCCATGGATCCAGTGTTCCATACTGTTTTATGTCACTGAGGCTTTGTACTATAACTTGAAAGCTGAGTCTCTTCCATTTTAATTTCTTTCACTTTACTACATGATGCTAAACTGTGGTATGTTTAGATGATTGTAAATAGTCTTACTCTTCTTTACTTGGATGTGCCATAATTCCTGTTACAGAAATCTTAAATCTTAATCCCCCATTTAAAAAGGCCTCTGAATTCCAAGTATTATCTAACACTTAATCCATTCTAACTTGTGTCCTTATCGTCCTCTAGTGAGTGACACCGCTGGGTCACACCATGTCAACATTTATCCCCTAAGAATCTGTAAACAAGGGGAAGCAACAGTCTTCGTATAATAAAGACTGGTTGTTCTTTACTTTGTGTCTCCACATGTAGGTTGTCCCAACGGCAGCTCTGGCTCTGGCTGTGAAAGACTCCTGGGAGGGTTTCAGGGCTGCCTGAAGCTCATCTCCATTGGCAACAGAGCGGTAGATCTCATCTCGGTACAGCAGGGGGCGCTTGGAAGTTTCAGCGACCTCCAGATAGACTCCTGCGGCATCATGGACAGGTAAGGGCCGCCTGTTGTTACCTCATCATGCCTGTCTTCGAAGCTAAAAAGTAAACAGAAATTCCATTTTCTAGTTTAAAAAACATCAAAAATCTCGGTATGCAGCTCAGTGCAATGGCCCTGGTTCCATTCCCTGGTAACCCCCTTCCTTCACATTACATTCTTTCATTCTGTTATCTTTGGGGAATGAAATAGTTATATTTACAGTGTGATTTTGAAAATGGCATCTTCAGTTGTATAGATAGAATTTTTGAAGTGATAGTATTTTATAGGAATTTTAATTTAAAATAGTCTCAGTTTCAAGCTTCATTGTTATCTAGCCAGGTTTTGCCGACACACCTCGATAGTGGGGTGATACTTTGGGGTACAGAGGAGTGGCATGGGTTCCTCTCCTTTTACTTTGCAGCAGCAGCCACCAAGTACCATTTCTTCTACAGAGCAAATAAGAATCGCTTTTCAGAAAAGTTTGAACTACAGAAATTGATGAAGATATGTACACAAGGACAGGAGAAAAACATTTTAATCTTTAACAATTAAGTATTATAAATACATTTTGTGCTGTTGGTTGTGCTTTATCTCTGTAATGATTCTGCCTCAAAATAATCATGTGATCATTCCTGGAAAAACAGAATTTCCTTAGTGCTTTCCTCTCGAGGTCTGCTGTCAATAGATGAGTGATGTTGATCATAGCACAGTGTGTGCGTGTGTATATATATAATATATATAATATATACATGCATGTATCAAAACAACACACTGTACCTGTGTCTATACAATTACCTGACAGTTAAAAATAAAGTGCAATTAAAATTTAATGAAATGAAATAAGCCAGATTTATAAAGATAAGTGTTGTATGTTTTCCACAGTGTGGAATCTAAACATGATGACATGAAAGTAGACAAGACACTGTTACTCAACAAAAGGAGAGAACACGTTGTAGGAAGAGGAGGTGTAAGGAGGGGCTATGGGGAAATGAATGTGGTCAAAATACCTGTGTTTATGAAAATCCCAGTGAAAGTCAACGTTTTGTAAAATCGATAGCCACTGATAAAACACTTTAAAATTAATGTTACAGGTTAATTTTTATCTACATATAGGTGACCTTTTAGAACTTTTCATTTTCTGCTAGAGAATGTCTTTACGAAGTGGGATCAAAAATACAGTAAGGAAAAGTAATCCAGTGAAGGCTGCTGCCAACTGGCATCTAGTGGAAAGGCAGTCTCACAAAGCAGTGCGGTGTCTTTCTCCACCTTATCTCTGGATCTGGCCCCCGGCACCGTGCTACTTCTGGTTCTTCCCCCAAATCAAGAGGACTGAGACAGGAAAACATGGTGAACTGATTCAGGGTGAGCAGACAGCTATGACAGCACAGCTAAAGACACTCACAAGAGAGAACTTCCAGGAGCGCTGCAGACAGCGGACAGAACAGTGGGATGAGTGTGCGAGAGGAGGGATGAGTGGCAATATGTCCTTCACTGTGATCAGTCTGTAGAAATCACAACTTTCACCCTAATTTTCAATCACACCTCGTATGTTGCTGTATATGTATATGATTGAAGAGGGTCCTGTTTCTCTCCGCTCTTTATCTCCCTTTCTCCCTACCTTTCTTTCTTGAAAAATCTCCACAACGTCGTAATTAAGCATAGAAAACTTTATGATTTTATGTATGCAACTGACTTTGCCAGCCATGTGTTAAGTTCATATTAAGTCACATGGAACAAAAAGAAAAAAAACAAGTGTGCTAAACACTGAGCTGGTACCAGGACATAATGATCAGCTACATGCTAATAAACGTATTTTCTAAAGGTACCATTATTATCAGAGATCTTGATGGTAAGCCGTCATTGTTGATAATATACATTTTCTTGTACATGCTGTCACTTCAATACAGTGAGTTTTTAGTAAAACAGACACTTGCTTTATGATACCTGAACATGAGAAATAGCGGTTGTGTCTGTTTTGTTGTAGGTGTTTGCCTAGCTACTGTGAGCACGGGGGTGACTGTTCCCAATCGTGGGACACCTTCTCCTGTGACTGCCAGGGCACGGGCTATACTGGAGCCACCTGCCATTCCTGTAAGCCTCATGCCATTGTCCTTCTTTCTGTATCTTTATAATTTCCTTATCGCTTCATTTTCTCTGGTTGCTTATATGCATCTGCATATTCGCAACGTGCAGACACATCAGAATAAGTGTTTTAGCACCTAATTCATTCTAGGTTTTTTAAAGCCCACTTAGTTATTTTTATTGCTTCCTTATTTATTTACTTAATCTGCTGTGCTGGTTATCCAGGCCAGGGCCTCGTACATTCAGGAGAAATGCTTACTGAGCTTCACCTCAGCCCCAAACTCCTTTAGCATCGGGCTGTTGAAGACATCCATGGAAATATGTGATGTTAAATAGTACAGAAAAAACAAGTTGGTAAGCAGTGCAAAATAAATAGAGTAGAATAAGATATAGTAAAGGATAAAAAGAAAGCTAGATCAATAGTACATATATCTTCTAACCTTATACTGTTTTGATAACTCCTTTATATGTGCTGCCAGCTTGAATGTCGGGTCTGATATATTGCACTTTATACATTAGCCATGTTAATGCCTTAGCCTAGTTATTTATTGTAATCAAAGCATAATACCAAAAAATTCTGAGGGAAAAATATTAGGTTGAAAAAAGTAGAATTTAAATTTCAATCTAATGTAATGATTTAGTTGATAATTGTGGTTTTCTAACATGTCCACCAAGTAT